TGAAGTGCCATGAGTTCACGGCTACATTCTTCCCACAGCCCACCTTCTGCTCTGTCTGCAAAGAATTTGTCTGGTATGGTCCACCTGACACAACCCTACACAAAAAAATGCTACATTATTCAAATATTTACTAAAATCATTCATTATTTGAATGTTAACCAGTTGCACATGAATAAATAATAAAATTGCATCAACACAGTTCTTGGCAAAAGAAATAAACTGAGAGGCAGCAATTGTCATGACATCACATATTTTATCCTCTCGCAACCATTTGACACATTTGAATTAGCATTTATTTTGTTTCAGTGCTGTTACACTCTCCACAAATATCACCCAATTTGCTTCATAAAGGAATACTGCAGTATTTCTCAACCTGAACTCTATCGGCTGCATCTGAATCCTGCCTGGATAGTAATTTTTAGGCATTTTTCTCGAATAAAAACGGAAAACCTGCTGATTCTTATAATAGAAGCCAATGTGCAGTTGCTGAATTCCATTAATCATTTTTAACATATGTGACTTGACATGAATTTGAAGTCTGTGACTCTTACAATCTAACAATACAGTTTTTCAGGCAAGCTAATAGCTGTACTTACAATGTCAACAAAGCTGCTGAAACATCACTAGAGAAGCAGTTCTTTCACTTCCCCAGAGGTTTTTTGGTGTCTGTGGCGGTAAAGCGGAGCCACATCGCTATTCCGGTACCACAAAATCCACAAAATCTTCCCTGTAGAAAAGTGGTTTAATCTCTAAAAGAACTCAGAACATAAAAAATAACAGTGAATTAACAACATGTTTTAAAGATTAGAGACCATGTTGGCAGCATGTTACAGATTTGGCAGACAGAGGTTATGTTGAAAAACACTGGAATATTCCTTTAAAATGAATTATGTCCATTTTATGTCCAAATTAGAAAATGCTTTTGTAATTGTTGACAGCAGGTTTAATCAACTTCTTATTGCTATTACAATAGGCTTATTAATTTTTCATGCCCGATTATCTTCTGTAATATAACAGTGTTATGACGGGTGTCATTATGTTTGATGCATGTGACATAAGCTGCCATGACATCATATATATGATGCCATGACATGTTTGTTTTGTACATGTTTGACATGATAAGTATTGCTGGCAATTCAAACATAAGTGACCCCCCCTCTCTCCCAACAGGGGGCTGAATAAACAAGGATATCAGTGCCGACGTGAGTTTCCTGAATTTGACTGTTTTCAGATTTATTTATAGCTCCTTTATGAGCTTTTTCATGAGAAAGCAAACAATATTTATTATCTCTCTCACTTTTTCTCTCTTCGTTTCTCTTGCTCTCTCTCTCTCTCTCCTTTGTAGAGTGCAATGCTGCCATCCATAAGAAGTGCATTGACAAAGTGATCGCCAAATGCACCGGCTCTGCCATTAACAGTAAAGAAACCATGGTAACCACTACAGACCATGCATTTGCTTGTTTGAAGCTTTATTTATATTTATATTTATATTTATATTGCACTGTATATCATTGAAGCTGTTTTAAGCAGTAGAACAGTATGTTATCACGACTAACACCACAATAGTGATTTGGTCGCAGACATGAGCCAAGGTTGAGTGATCTGTAACGTTATTCACAAGAATTCTTGACTGTTCAAGTGTTAATTGTTGCTTTTGTAGCAACGAAAATTGTTAAACCAAGAATCCCTCACCATTGTTTAAACAGGTTTTTAATGTTTGCAGTTTATTCACCAACAAGTAGTTCCTGTAGCCTAAAGTAGCTGTTATTGTTACTAAACAACAAGTGGTCAGCAGAAAGATGCAGGTGTGGGGAAAAACTCCACACGGTTATCAGATATAACAACATGAGTACAATGTACAAGTTGTAGTACGTTATATACAAGACTTTCACTTTTTTGTGTTAGTATAATTTAGAGGGGCTTCCACACTGAATCTGCTGTGTGTGTGTGTCTGTGTGTTTTAGATCCATAAAGAGCGCTTTAAGATCGACATGCCTCATAGGTTTAAGGTCTATAACTATAAAAGCCCAACGTTCTGCGAGCACTGCGGCACGCTTCTCTGGGGTCTGGCCCGACAAGGCCTCAAATGTGAAGGTGAGCAATCACATGACTCCATTCAGATCACATGATCTTAAAGAACCACCACATGTGTAATATGACTGCTTAGCCTCAGACTGAATAGACGACTGAATGACATGGTAGAGTATTACCTAATCCATTCTGACACTGTCCAAAAACTGTGCTTTATAATGCCCTGATCTAACATGCTAATCACAAGCTAATATGTTAGCCCCAGTTATAACCTTACAATACATACCCAATAGCCAATATCATACAAAACATTATGAAACAATTACATGCGTAATACAACACATGCTGCAATACAGTACAACACAATGTATTGTTACACAGCAACTGTCCAGTTACACAAAATGTGTTAAAATAGTAATGACTTATGTGGTTACCACATAAAAACGCAAAGGGATGAATTTATTTCAATTTTTATTCTTCATTAGAGCATACAGTTTGAAAAGGAAAGTATAGGGAATGTTATATCAGTGCATTAATCCATATCAAACTCATCTAAAATGCTTTTTGGTTGACTTTGTTGCCAAACAATAACCCTGTGTGTGTGAGAATCAGGGCCGTCTCTTCTTTTGGGGGGGTCTAAGCAGGATTTTTTGTAGGCCTCCTATCTTGATGGCTGATGTCCTGTGAAATAGGAGTATAAAAAACAACAGTGACTACCACAAGTTGTCTAAATTAAGTAAATTTGTGACTGCCTAATTTGTGTATTGCATATCACTGGATGCTCATTTGAAATTCTAATAAGTTCTAACAGTTTAAATCACAGATAACCTTTTTAGCATTCTTAATCCAGGTGTCTGTCTCACAATATAGTATTTATTGCTTACCTATCTAACTTTAAGCTTAGTTTAGTCAGCACTGGTAAGACTCATGGAAACCGCAACCATATTGTGTGTGTGTGTGCGTGTGTTCTTTTTGCAGAGTGTGGAATGAATGTTCATCACAAGTGTCAGAAGAAAGTAGCCAACCTCTGTGGGGTCAACCAGAAGCTGATGGCCGAAGCACTGGCTATGATTGAGAGCACACAGCAGGTTAAACATTACATCTTTATTATTGTGGTGGGGGATGGGGGGTTGGGGGCATCACAGGTGGCATCACAGTTAACAATAGACATTAAAAGCCCTGGACAAATGCAACCTTTGCGCTGCATTAGTTTGCATACTACATATCATAGAAGTTTATTTTTGTTTAGGGTGGGGTTTGGGCAAGGTCTCAAAAAACATGGGAGGGGCAAAAAACCTGTTTGCAGAATAGCATAATATAGTGTGTGAATTAAGCGCACAGACACATGTACACACACTTTCCTGCATCTTCAGGAACAGGCTGTGTGTTTGCTTTGTGTTGGTGATGTTCAGATATAATTCTGAAAGTGAAAATTCTTTATCTCTGTGTGTCTCTCAGGCACGCAGCTATAAAGATAGTGAGGTGACTGGGCGTGAGGGGCCAGTAGCTGTTGGTCAGGGGGCAGTGGTCAAAGAAACCTCTGGCTGTTTACCGGTTCATCCGCTAACTCCTGCTCCACCACTGCCACGCAAAGGTAACACTCACATACATGCATGTATGCACACACCAGGCAATTCAACCTTCATTAGGAAAAAATTTATTTAATATAATCAAATGAAATATTTCCCCTGTAACTATGTTATCAAATTAACATTGACTCTTTGTGCGAAATGCCATGACTGTGGTGAAGCATCAAGCAATAAGGAATAAAAGGGGAGGGGTGGGATCCCCCTGCTCTGAAAACAATTCATACCTATTCACAAACACATCTGTATGTGTGTGTGTGTGTGTATATATATATATATATATATATTTATATATATATATATATATATATATAAAACTTATTTATTTTAACTTATTCTCACTTGAATGAAGGTTGTACATACACCAGGTTTGTACAAACCTTTAAATTTGACTGTATGTTTATGTATGCTGCTGTTCTGTGTGTTTCTTTGCATGTAATGTAAACCATTTCTGGGTAAGAACACAATTCCTTTAATTCTTGTTGTGGGGAGGGTTATGACACTGCCTTATAATTGTCAAAGCAGCCTATAATTTGCAAATGATCTGACACTGCTCTGCTTTTCCTCCTCTCTCAGAGCATCAGGGCATAGCGTGGGACGCCCCACTTCAGGGGGACCGGCCGAGCCCCACTGTAGAGCCAGAGCCACTGTACGCTATCCCACGCAAAGAACACCACCACAAATTCACCCTCGATGACTTCATACTGCACAAGATGTTGGGAAAAGGCAGCTTTGGCAAGGTGTGTGTGTGTGTATATATATATATATATTGTTAAAGTTTGTTGTTGTTTGTTAAAGGGTTAAAGTTAACACAGAGCAGTAAAGCATCTACACTGAAATCATTGTGTATGTGTGTAGGTGTTTCTAGCAGAGCTGAAGGCCACTGGGCAGTTCTTTGCAGTGAAAGCTCTGAAGAAGGATGTGGTTCTGATGGATGATGATGTGGAGTGTACAATGGTGGAGAGGAGAGTTTTATCTCTTGCTTGGGAGCATCCATTCCTCACACACCTCTACTGCACTTTCCAGACCAAGGTGAAACACACACACACACACATAGACACACGTGTTATACAATGTCAGGACAAGGCTCATTTACATGTAAATGTATTTAAGTAAGAACAGGTCTAAAAATGTACATTTTTTCTATTTTTGCTAATTTGTCATATTTAAATGTTTCAGGTCAGAGTGAACATCATTTTATTGACAATGAAGATTTATTCAAAACCTATATCACCCATGTGAAAAAGTAATTGTTCCCCTAAACCTAACAACTGGTTGCGGCACCCTTGGCAGTAACAACTGCAATCAAACGTTTGTGATAACTTGCGATAAGTCTTCATCACTGTGGAGGAGTTCTTGCCCACTGTTGTTTGCAGAATTGCTTTAATGTAGATACATTGGAGAGTTTTCAAGCATGAGCTGCACATTTAAGGTCTTGTCACAGCATCTCAAAGGGATTCAAGTCAGGGCTTTGACTTGGCCACTCCAAAACCTTAATTTTGTTTCCTTTGAGCCATTCAGAGGGGATCTTGCTCATGTGCTTTGGATTGTCCTGCTGTATAACACCACTGCGCTTGAGCTTTAGGTCACAATATGACGGGCAGACATTCTCCTTCAGGATTTTCAGATAGAGAGCAGAATTTATGGTTTCATCAGTTATGACAAGCCATCCAGGTTCTGCAGAAGCAAAGCAGCCCCAGACCATCAAACTACCACCACCATGTTTGGCTGTTGATATGATGTTCTTACGGTGGAATGCGGTGTCAGCTTTATGCCAGACGATCCTTTGACTCATCAGTCGACACAATATTATTCCAAAAGTCTTGGGGGTCATCTAGAGGTTTTTTGGCAAATGTGAGATAAAACCAGCAGTGGTTTGTGCCCTGCAACACTCCCATGGATGCTGTTTTTGTCCAGAGTCTTCCTTATTGTGGAATCATGTACATTGACCATAACTGAGGCAAATGAGGCCTGCAGTTCTTTTGTGATATCCTGGATGAGTCGTCGATGTGCTCTTGGTGAAAGTTTGATGGCCAGCCACTCCTAGGAAGGTTATCACTGTTCCTGGTTTTCTCTATTTGTGAATAATGGCTCTCACTGTGGTTTGCTGGAGTCCCAGAGCCTTAGCAATGGCTTTGTAACCCTCGTCAGATTGCTAGATTTCAATAACTTTCTTTCACATCTGAATTTGAATTTCTTTAAAACATGGCATCATGTGCTGCTTTTTGAGAACTTCTAGCTTCACGTTGCCAGACAAGTTCTGTTTAATAGATGTTTAGATTCAACAGGTCTCAGGTTTTCTTCAGTAAATAAAATTTAAAAACAGCATTTTGTGTTTACTTGGGTTATCTTTGTCTGATATTAAAAGTAGTCTGATAATCTGAAACATTCAAGTCAGACAAATATGTGAAAATCGAGCAACCAAGCAAACACAGACACATTATTCCACATGATATTGCTGTTTTTAAGCAAGAAATATTGTGTGTGTGTGTGTGTGTGTGTGTGTGTGTATGCCATGTAGGAGAATCTGTTTTTTGTGATGGAGTATCTGAATGGAGGTGATTTAATGTTCCACATCCAGTCCTGCCACAGATTTGACCTGCCACGCTCCACGTGAGAGACGCACTCACACTCACACCCATACACTCATACACAGTTCATGTCCATTTATGTTGTCATTGTACACAGCAACATAGTCAACTGTTATTGTTTTAAATCTGCTTCATAAATAGAACTTACTTACATTACAGCCCTACAAATAGTTAAATATAGACATAAACATCACACAAGGAAGCATGTCTAAATCTGCACCTCATTCTCTCTCTCTCTCTCTGGTAGGTTTTATGCTGCTGAAATAATCTGTGGGCTTCAGTTTCTGCATTCAAAAGGCATTGTGTACAGGTAACTACAGGCAAAAGCCATATTAAAATATGTACATCATTCATACATTAATAAAATATATAATACATCAACAAAATTACTGTCAGAAAGTAAATTGAAAACCTATGTATGTTTTTTCTCTCTGTACAGGGATCTGAAGTTAGATAATATCCTACTGGATATCGATGGTCACATTAAAATCGCTGATTTTGGCATGTGTAAGGAGAATATGCAGGGGGAAGCTCGGACCTCCACCTTCTGCGGAACGCCCGATTACATAGCCCCTGAGGTGACACACTCACAACACACTTTGCTTTACAACTGCTAGTGCTATTTACCGCATTTGTTCTTTAGTTCTTTACTTACTTGTATACTCACTGACAAATAAAGTAATAAAGATAATAAATTCATATTACATCTCTCTGAAGAGTTTTGTTCCAAGATGCTACATTTCCATGTGTGACGAGAAGAGGTTAAAAAAGAATAATAGCTGTCGTTTAATGCACTTTATCAAAAAGTGTGTTTTTATTTCTTTAATAAATGAAGAAAAAAGAAAATTCATCAAAGGGTGTTATTTATATATGTTTATCTTTTGTGTTTGTCTAAATGTCATATATCTGATAAGCAGTAAACATGCTTGAGCAGACACACACTATGTAGACACAGGATTATGCAGGATTACATTCTCTTTAAGTTCTACTATTCTTCTGCAGATTTTACTTGGGCAGAAATACGGCACCTCTGTGGACTGGTGGTCTTTTGGGGTCCTTCTTTATGAAATGCTGATTGGTCAGTCACCGTTCCATGGGCATGATGAGGAGGAACTGTTCCAGTCCATCCGGACAGATGATCCATGTTACCCGCGCTGGCTGACCAGAGACGCACGGGATATTCTCATTAAGGTATGGCAGACTAATTAAAGGAAACTTTGGCAAAAAATATTTCTTCTTATCACAAACACAATGGATCAATCAAGGCATGTTTGGTGTCCAAAGTTTGCTTCTTTTGTTTTGCATTTGAGCTACAAGGCTCAAGTAATGGAAGCTTATACCCCACAAATTAGCACTGTGCAAACTCAGGAGTAAAAATGACCTGGAATGTACAGGAATCCTGTTCTGGGAGTAAAAGTTTAGACAGAACAGCATTCCAGGCTGAACTTTGAAAATCTAGATAACTATTTTTAGGGAATCCGCATAGTCACTCTCTTGTAAAGTGTACGCATGAAAAGAAGTGTCTATTAAACACCTACAGCCCATTCAGCATTAACATTTGCTTAACATTTGAATTAATTGTGTGTATTGTTGCTAGTTAATGGTAGGTTTAATGAAAGTGCCATTGCCTTTTAAGAGACGTTTGAATGAGCAGCATCAAATAAGAAAAGCCAGATTTTGTTCCCTTTTCTTGATTGTTCTATTTCTGCTCCCCATAGATTTTTTTTTGCTTGCCATAGAAATGCTACCATCTGTATTTAAAAATATAGATAGGTTTAATGAGGCTTAAGTTTGAATTCCTATTGTTTAATCAAAGCATTAACAAATGTAAGGTCTGTAATCAAAATGCCTAGATGGGAAAGAGACCTAGATTTATTTGCAACAAATCAGTTAACATTACTGTTGTTGTCAACATGTAGAATTTGAGTGTTTTTGTACTTTCAACTTTAATGAATGGAGACCTGTGAATTAAGGTATTAACATTAAGCTTTAAGAAAAAAAACATTCAAGCTTTTATTCTCAATGCAGGAAGTGCACAAGAATAAAACATTTATTGGTTGATTATAAAAAATAAATTATAAAAAGGTTAAAGTTAAAGGTATTCAAGGTATATTTCACTGTGAAAATACTCTAAAAACAGCAGGCAAAAAAACCCTAGAGTTACCTCGGTAAGACCTGGCCATGTCCACCACTGAGCAAACTGCATGCCTAAATCATCGCACACAAACTGTGTCGAGTTAAATAATCTCAGATAGACTTGCTTATGTGGTTTCTGACACTGTGTAACACACTGCTATCTATAAACATGGATTAAAGTACAGACACAGTTCAGCCTCATGATGGCTGCTACTACTGTTTTTAAAAATGCAACTCACTTTTGTCCATTTTTAAAGACAAATTTGATTTTCCACTGAATGATTTCTTTAAACTCATCTGATCTCACCAGTATGCCAAACAAATGCTATTCGTTTTTCTTTTTATTCAAAGGCAACTGTAACCTTAAAAAGCTAGCTTCTTTCATCTTTCTTAACTCTCCTCTCTGCTGTGAGTGGTGGACGTGGTGACCTGACTCTGACCAAGCTATGTGATGTGATTGGTTGCAGTTGTTTGTGCGTGAGCCAGAGCGAAGGCTGGGTGTGAAGGGCAACATTCGGCAGCATCCTTTCTTCAGGGACACAGACTGGAATGCACTGGAGAAGCGGCAGGTGGAGCCCCCTTTCAGGCCTACTGTGGTAAGTCCACATGTAGTTGAATAGCAAGAGTGCATGAGAGAAAGTGCAGATACTGACATGTGCTTGTATGCACCACAAGAACAATCTAGCAACAAAACATTATGCAATCTATCTATGTACCTATGCATCTATATATATATATATATATATATAACACACACATACATATATATATATATATATATATATATATATATATTGCTTGCTCAAAAGATATCAGTTACCTTTTTGGAAGCATTCTTGGTACTTTTTTACTGCATTAATGTTTATTCGCATTTATTCTAATGTTATTTGGGATTTTTATAAGCAGAAACACATTTACTGTCGAGATACATGGTTTTAAACTGTGTGCTTAGTTGCCTAAGATTTTGCACAGTACTGTATATGCCATATATAGATAACGATTAACAAACAACAAAGCATGCAGGCCTAATGGACATATTAGATGTGTATATGATGTTTGTCTGAGTTTATTTCAACTAAATTTGGTCTTTGTTTGCAGAAATCTCCGAGTGACTGCAGTAACTTTGATAAGGAGTTCATTAATGAAAAGCCTCGGTTGTCCAGCGCAGATCGCACCCTTATCAACAGTGTGGACCAGACCATGTTCAAGAACTTTTCCTTCATCAACCCGGGCATGGCTCGCATTAAGAATGCCTGAGATCTACACACACATACTGAAGATACTTCAGTGCCAGTCTACTCACACTTTTAGTAGTAATGCATTAAATTTACTTAATGCAAATGTGCACATCATTCTCATATTAATACAACATATTACATCAACACAGCTGTTGAGTTTGGCAGTGATTGTGTTATATAAGATTTATATATATATATATATATATATATATATATTTTATCATGTGGAAATGATGTACACATTTGAATCAAGTAAATGTAGTGCATTAATAGAAGTTCTCAAATCATAAAAGCAATCAGTAAAAGCGGTATAATTGAGCCATCCTCGTGGACTACAATAACGTCCTAATTAAAAGTCAGTGGACGTCCTGGTCTGCCTCCTCTCCTCGCTTGAGGACAATCAGGACACATCACTGGAACCTCACTGCTGTAGGAAAAGTTCCTTTTTACTGCCCCAAATCATTCCCCATATTTGCACCAGCAAGTCCTCCTACTTAAGAAATGAAATAAGACTGTATTTGTATAGTTATGTTATACATCACCATCGTGTGGACTGGTATTTGCGTGACATATTTCTCAGTGAGATAATGCAGAATTGGCATGTATTTAATGCAATAGAGTGAATATGTTTCCAAATAGGATTTGAGAATTAGTTGCAGCTGTACCTGGTTGCACATTCATGCGTAAAGTCCTAGCTGAGAGAATTCAGTCCCTAGCTGTTTCTGGAATGTGTGTATGAGTGTGTGTGAGGTTTTATTATTTGCGCTTGTTAGTGGATTAATCGCAGGCTGTGTGTCTCCATGTGAATAGTTGCTATTTTAAGTGTTGTTTTACAATTGTTTCTTGTACAATTGTAATTTGAGTTGATGAAGTCTTATTCTAATGAAATTTTGTATGGCATATGAATACCACAGTGTCCTTTGCCAACATATGAAGTAGCAAAAATGTACAGATGCATTGCTTATTTTGATGGTGATTTTTGGTCGTTCACGCACAATAACGCACCACATAACTTAAATTCAGTAGGAGGCATAAATAAATCTCATAATTCCATGCTATAACACAGAAAAACATGTATCTTATATGTCTGTCATCCTTGGATTGACCATAACTGTGTTGAGGTTTGTCAAATATGTAAAAGGATGCTGTCATATCAGTCTAAAGCAAGTCCAAAATAAGTGTCCTTTGATTTGATGGTGCATACTAAGGTACACAACATCAATTTAGTTTTGATATAGAGTGTTTTTATAAAAAGTCTGTAGCTAAATTTAATAACCACAAGTACATTGATCAGTTTGACCAGCCAATAATAGCTTACATTTTTCAAACAAATTGTCAATTAATTTTTTCATCAGAAACAGTAGGTTATTTTTGATGTGCACATGTCACAAAATACACCAAAATTGTTTAAAAATTATCTGAAAACTGGGGAAGACAAATAGGACACTGCAACTCCCAACGCATTGCATTGTTAATGTTAACTGGTGTTACCTAGCTTGGAGAAGCTGTGGTCGGTTTTTGCTGAAAGGTCTGGGTGCACATTGTCAAGGTCAGTAGAGGTGAAGTAAGTGAGTAAATTGTATTTATAAGGAACATATAAAGATAACTTATTGACGGAAGTGCTGAAAAAATGTGATATGGCAGTTATTAGCCATTTCCAAGTGATAGTGTGTTTTACTGCTAACTAGTTAGCTACAAAATTGTCAAGAGGATCCGGACACATTTCTGTGGCCTGAAAATAACTAGTTAGCTTATAACACAGATCTAAAGAGCCATATACCCAGTTTGATAATCCATATCTGTTCATTTCTGCCTTAGATATGCTGTTGTTCTCACTAGTCGTTTTCAGTAAAGTTCCGCTAGCTAGACATATTTTACTAGCTTACTATTTGGGCTGTTTCTTTGATGTTCACATTCATATGATTTCTAGAAAAAAAATCTTTTATTTGTAAATTTAGTTTAAATATGAAGCCTTAGGTTTTCGTTATATACTCTGCTCTAATGTATGTGTAATGCAGCTAATTTGATAAGCACATTTTTGCTAGCTACTACTGTTGACTCCATGCTTATATTTGGAGCTTTTATGCAGGCCTAAGGTTCAGATTTACTTATTTACTTATTTTCCTGCTGCAGGAACACATTTTAAAGAAAACATGAAGGAAGTAACCTAAAATGACTAAATATGTTAATAATTTTGACAGTTGTTCAAGTCCAAGATAAATATGTAACCACATGTGTGCATGATAAGCATGAGTGTGGTGGTACAATGTATACTGTACTAAAATCTAAACATAACATGTTTTACTAAAAAAAACAGAGTGGGTCATTTCCCACATTAGGTGTGACCAGCATTTGCCTGGAGCAGTGCTGGATTGCTTTTTATCAAACTGCTGCAAAATAGGAGCAAAACCAAGTGAAAATCATTTATATTTTTGTTTAGTTTATGATAGCCAAAATTCTACAATTAAAAATTAAAAAAAAAAAACCTACTCAAATTTAGTACACAGTGTGTGCTGTAAGCCTGTTGTTGTCCTGAAGAGGGCACTGTTCTTCACTATTTTCAATGATGGCTGTTTACAAGGTTTTGTGTGTTCACCGTGAACAAATTGTATTTCCAAGAAAAGCACTGTCAGTTAAATGGGATGCTTTGGAGCAGCCGCACATGAGCCTAAGGTCTTCACACCTAAAGTCAAGAGTCGGCAAAAACACTGTTTCTCAACCCTGGTCCTGGAGACCCACTGCTCTGCACTTTTTAGTGTCTTCCCTGCTCCTAACACACCTGACCCAACTAGTCAGCTAATTAACAGCCCATTAATTACCTGTTAATGTGGCTGTCATAAGGCAGGGAAAGCACTACAATGTGGGTTTTCAGGATCAGCTTAGAGAAACACTAAAACAATGGTTTTCAACTCTTGCTTTGGAGACCCACTGCCCTGCACTGTTTTAGGTATACTCTGCGCTTAACCCACCTGACCCACCTCATTAAGCTTAATAATTAGATGTTGAGCTGGATTAGGTGTGTGGAGGCTGGACATAATAAAACTGTGCAGGGCAGTGGTTCCCCAGGATAGGGACTGAAAACCACTGGGCTAGAGGAGTATAAAACCCCCCAGCACTTGGTTGGGAGCAGTGGAACATTTGGGATCTGCTGGAGTGGCATTTGTGATCCATAACTAATCACACTGACCTCACTAATGCTCCTGTGGCTGAAAGCAGTCAAGTCCTCAAAGCAATGTTCCACCATCCACTGTAGCCTTCACGAAAAGTACAGTCTGTTACTGCAGCAAAGGAAGGATAAACTCTCTATGAATACACAGAGGAAACGCTGACTGAGCATGTCTACAAACTTTTGGACATATAATCTCAATGTAAGTTACTGAGACACATTAGCACAGTGGTCACCAAACCTCTTCCTGGAGATCTTCTGTCTTGCAGAATTTATTTCCAACCTGCATCAAACATGCAGCTCCCCCCCTTACCTAACAATAATGCATTTTACCCAGCCAATCAGGAACTTCTGAAGAAGCTAATTAGCCAGAGCGGTTGTGGCAGATTGTTGTTGGAACTAGACTCTATAGGAAGGTAGATCTCCAGGGCTGGCTTTGGGGGGGCACTGCATTAGCACACTGAATTTATTTCCAGCAGTGAATAACCTGTCATTGCTCTCACAGTCCACTAGAGGGCGGCATCTCCCTAAGAACACAGCTCACTTACGGTAAACGGGTGCAAACGCATGACTTGATGAGTCATCGGATGACGGAAATTGAGTCAGTGCCAAAGAGTTTCTCATACTGCCTTTGTTAGAGGGAAGAAGCGGTGCTCTCCGATATAACTGAGAAACAGAGAAGAAACTCTTTTTGTCGTTGTGGTCCTGGATGTGATGTAATTCTTCCTGTTTTTGTAAATGCTTTGAAAAGGGAAAGGCCAGACATTAGTGATGTCTATTGTTTCAGACGGTCACACAGATCATGGTCTCACCTGTTGTACCTTTTCTTTGGCCAGACGGACAATTTCACCTTTGGGCAGTAGTATTATACATGTGACATTGGGCTGGGCTTTATCTGTACAGACTGCCATCTCTGCTTATGGAGACCATTTCAGTGTGAAACATACATTTATTATTAATGCTGAGAAGTGATATCATAGATTTGCATCAAAAAATGGTAAATGACCTCTCATAGATGTTATCATTACTACTGACTAGTCACATAGAGAAACAAGACATGTTGTTAATAACTGCTACAGTACTTCATGTATATCTCAATTTCTATCTTGATTTAAAGGGTTGTATGCGTTATAATATCCACATTGTCAAATTACATGTTTGCTAATAGTCTAATTGAAAAAAAGTTCACACATTCATTTATTCACATTCAACAACATTTTAATGCACATTTACTGTTTATTTGCAGAATTTGTTTTTAACACAGTGGGAAAAAGACAAAACCTAGAATGTGGATTGTGCCAAAGTTCTATTTTATGTTTAATGATTTTATTTTTTTTCCAGTATCAAGTCCAAGTGGTCTTAATTGTCAGTCCTCAATATACAGTAACTTGTATACAATGGAATGAACTGTCGTTCTTCAGGCCTCATACTGCGACTCACAACAGCAACAGCTTAAACAGGCCAACATAAACATATATCATATTAACATATCAAGTATGTTAATATATTAACATATTTACATATTGATATGATATACTGAAATGTCAGTTTGATAAACTCACCAAAACAAAACTGAACTTGGCAACATTTTTTAACATAAACTCTATCTGCCACATGCACTATATGGGCAAAAGTGTGTGGACACTAACATTAGTTAGTTCAGGTGTTTCAGCCACACCCATTGCTAACAAGTGTATACAATCAAGAAAATAGCCATGCAGTCTCCATAGACAAATATTGGCAATACAATGGGTTGCACTGAAGAGCTCAGTGACTTCAAATGTGGTACTGTCATAGAAAGCCACTATTGCCACAAGTCAGTTTGTGAAATTTCAGCCCTTCTCGATCTGCCCTGGTCAACTGTAAGTGCTATTATTGTGAAATGGAAGTGTGTAGGAGCAACAACAGCTCAGCCACAAAGGGGAAGACCATACAAACTCACACCAGGTGCTAAAGCACGTAGTGCATAAAAATTACCTATCCTCTGTTGCATCTCTTACTACTG